TGTGTTCGATTTTTTTAAGAACAATTTAAAAAAAAAACATGTCGGAAAGCAATAGAGAGCAAATGGTGCATGCGCAAAATCATTGGTCACGGTTAAAATTCTACTTTTAAAAGCAGTATTTTATTTCGTTCCGGAATATTTTGTTCTGTTTACGTACAGTATCCATGTGTGTCATTTTTTGTTATAACTCTTCCAAAAATCTACCATACGGTTATAGAAATAACATAATTTTACTGTTTATGAATTTTATAAAATAAATTATAATTATCATAATTATATCAAATATAGCTTTATAACATTTAAAGTAGAAATTAGCTTTAGAAGATTACATCAACACAAATTTAAAACACATTCATCAAGTTAGAGTTTTAAAAAATTTATGTTATTTATTGTAAGCTGATGCTTTCTTTAAGGCCCATTATGCCTCAAAAATGCTTTTATTTTTATTTTTCAAAAGTTCCTCTTAAATTTTGTTGTTCGTTTATAATATCCAAAAAAGTTACTCATTGGCCAATTACCAGAACCATCTTTTTCATCTGTTACCTTTTTGACAATAAGTACAGTTGTAGTGTATTAGAAGTTTGTAAAGAAGTCAAAATAATACTTTGTTTGCATTTACTACTTTTATGGCCAAATTACATTGCATATCTATCGCTATTTTCTTCATGTAGCAAGCACATGACATTCTCTAAAACCATTATTAAAACATCACAATATTTATGTTTGCCCTTTCTAACGAAATAAAAAAGTAAATCGTTTCTGAGGTATAATGTGCCTTTAAAGTCACGAAGGCAGATAATAGCTTACCATTGAAACACAGTGAATCTATTCTTAGAACATATAATTATATATAATCTATTGTTGATTGGTTATGCCTAGTGCATTGTATATTCAAATGTTTTTAATCACTTTTATAGAATTAATTACATTTGTCTATGGGTTTAGATTTAAATTATACACTTGTATATTCATCGAAGTTGAAAATCTGCTACTTTATTCTTGGAAAATCAAAAGCTTTACCTTCAAGTTACTTGTAATGTTCCCGGAAATCTTTTGACAAAGAAATATGCCAAATATTTGATTTGTACACTACAGCTCAGTTATTTAAACAATTAATTGTAAGCATATCTGTTATTTATATAAGATATTTTAGGAAGTAGATTTGTCTATTTTTGAACAAACATTGTATACATTTTGAAATTTAAGGGCGAGGGAAACGCTAGTATTTTGTATTGTATTTTTTATTTAGTTTTGTTTATCGGTGCCATTTTTACAGCTGTGAAATGGGACAAAATAATCATTCACTCATGTTTTCATAAAATAATATTGTTTCCTTTATTGCAAGTACAATTAATAGTAGGTTTTTTGTTTGTACGAGAAACAAAAACAATATCAGTACGTTCAGTAATTTTTTTCTTTCTTTCAGAACCTTTCTAATAGAATAAAAATGAAATAAAAATAAAAAATCTCTTACAATGAGCCTCTAAACATCTGCCGCTAGACATGGAATAAGCATTTATTTCAGAAATAAATTAACATATGTTTTCTGTAGTAGCTATGTAACGGTTTTGAAAGACACTCAGGCAAACACTTAAACATTATAAAACGAGCATAAATAAAATTACGGGATGAACATCTTAATGTTTGGGCAGGCTGGAAAGCTTAAATGTGTGAGTTTTTGCACAGATATATATTATATATTTATATTCATTACTTTATGAATGAAGATCGTTGAGGATTTGATATCCCCGCCTACTTCGTATAAATGTTACAAAGCTGGAAACAAGAGAAACTACCTTCCTTACTATAGTTATTCTCCTCCCTGTATTTATGAACATAATTAATCAATTAATTTTTCCTTTGAATCCGTAAGTTTTCAGACAAATTTTATAACGAATATAAAACCACAGTCAATGTCTTTACAGTAAGTAATATAACAAACAATAACTCTTATATGATAGAAAGCACTCTTTTAACTGTTTATTGGGCGTTACCATATTCTATGAAAAGAAATTATGGTTTATAATTAACAAGAAAATTTTCATACATTTCTTGCAATTGCAGTCTTGGAAAAAAATATTGGAAGCATAAACTGTTAATATGTTAATCGATGTTAATTCGTTGGCTTAATACTACAAACCCGTATGTCATTTTTTGTCATTTTTAGAAAATCGCATTTGAAAGTTTGAACTGTAATAACTTTTTAATGATAAACCGTATAAAGATAAAATTTTCAGTGAATTTAGAAATCTGTATGTTGTACATATGTACCAAATTTTAATTCTGTGCATACAATTTTAAAGCTAAAATATCAAATAATTAATTTCAATTTTTCATAATAAATAAGAAAATACATACAAATTCTGAATTCTAAAACCCCATTCGAGAGATACGGGGTTGTTGACAAAACATTCAGGTCATTTCTACACCATAAAAGCGACATACGGGGTTCTAATTGAAACATTTGAAGCAAATTGACTAAGTGTAATAATTTTCGGCTAGAAACATAGCAAAAATTCAAGTAAAAAATATCATTAACTTCTCCTACTGTGTAAAATATTACACGTCTGTTTGAAAATCAATGCTACTATCAAATGAAATCTACATTAATTTTTCAAAAGTATGCACTTGTTATGTTACATGTTTATCAACCGTGGGTATTCGACGATGCGTTTCTGTCACATACCTATGTTGCTATTATGTTTCAATTTTTGATTTAGAGTGTACATTAAGTAGATGCTTTTCGTGCTTCAGAAAACAGCGTTGAATCTGAAACAATTTGTCCTGATAGCATCTAGATGTAAACAAAGTGGTATTTTGTCTTCCACTCAAGAACATCTAATAAATATAACTTTTATGGATGATCAAAATGCAAATGTAAAAATGGGTTCAGCTATATAGCTAATGAGTACCCTTTCAAAAAGTGTAAAAACTTGAAAATAAGAAGCTTTTTCTCATCGAGTACTCATCGAGGCCGTCCGAAATGGTTATCATCCGAATAAATGTAGTATTTACATATGTATCTATTCAATACATTTACTATTAATTCAAAATGATGTAAGAGCTATAAAAACTAAATCATCAATATATGTATATTACATTCAGGTAAAAATTACTATAATTATCTTTAAATAAATCACTAAAAGTTTTTCAAATATTTGATTGTGATAAGTAGGCAGCCATTACAGATGTGTCATGTATCACGTGGTACAAAATCAGAATGTTTGATTGGACGAGAAGTTACTGGGGTCTAGAATTAAAGTTTGATGTAAATAGCGAGTTACGGGTTTGTGGAATTGGAAATAAACATTTTTATGTTAGTTCTACAACTACATAAGTATGTTCACTGTGAAGAGCTCATTGAGACGAAAAAAATGATATAAAAATCTCAATTTTGCCAAAAATCGAGTTACGGGGTTGTAGAATTAACCCGACGAATTGTATCAATGTTTTATGTAACGAATAAATTGTTCACTGTTGAATATTATCGTATTGTCAATTTGATGGTCAAGAATACATAATTCATAGTTATATAGCTTATCACGTACATGTATGTGAAAGACATCATCAACAAAAATATAATATTATATAAATATTTCATATGTAAGTAATGGATTCCGTTTTCAATACAGGGCGTGGATTATATCATATCAAAACAAACACATTATCTTTGCTTATTTAGCATAAGAAAACATATATATCAAACATTCAAATTTCTTTTCTTCAAACATAAAGACATACGTTTAAAGGCATCGTGTACAATCGTGTTATGCAGATTTACTGTATAAACCACAAAAAATCATTTTCTCAGCCCCGATCTCATTTTTCATTCAATTGTATAAAGAATTTGTGTTTTGTATAAACAGCGGCCACCCAATTTTCTGCGGCGCCGAGTTGTGCATTGGAGAATGTTCTGATGTATTGTTATTTAGTGTCAGGAAAATAGATACAGTTCCTCGACAGAGATAAACAATGTTGTAAATATTTGTTCTATTTTATGTCTCTGGAAATTAATTCAGGCTAATTCACTGCTTTGCCATTCTCTAGTTGTACACGGGGTTGCATATTTCAGTTTCTGTTCTGTCGCTAAATTACTCAGACTGTATACGTTTTTACAAATAATGAAATAATTGAAGGAAGTTGTAAATATAAGCAGTTACAATAAGTTGAAAATGAGTGTATATGATTTAGTTACGTCATTATCTTTTTGATGTGTAATGAATTATGAATTATTAAGAGATATATAAAAAACGTTGAGTTAACAATTATATAGTTTACAGGTCAAGTATACTGATTGTGTCATTTAAGGAATATAACATTTTCTAGACATTTGACGACATATAAATACCGCTATATGTGTAATATGAGTTATACACATGTATTTTATTATGTATGTTAGCTATATTATATTACAATATTTTTTTTCAAATCTGGCAAAGCTATATGTGCTATAGGAATATAAGGTTATACGAGCTGTAAAAATAAAATGTTTTATGTGCTGTTAGCATATAGGTCATATGTGCCCTTAGTATAATCTAATTCACGTTGTCATATAAGGCTATATGTGCCATAGTTATAGCTATATGGAATGTCGACATAAGTTGTTTTATGTGCTGTATGCATACAAGGCTAGATGTGCTGCAGGCTTATATGAGCCGCGTCACGACAAAACCAACATAATGGGTTTGCGACCAGCAAGGATCCAGACCAGCCTGTGCATCCGCACAGTCTGATCAGGATCCATGCTGTTCGCTTACAAACCCTATAACAAGTAGAGAAACTGATAGCGAACAGCATGGATCCTGATCAGACTGCGCGGATGCGCAGGCTGGTCTGGATCCTTGCTGGTCGGAAACCCATTATGTTGGTTTTGTCATGGCGCGGCTCATATGTGTTTTGTCACATTGAATATTGAAATTCAATGTGTTGACTTTTTATTTACACAATATATATGCTATATAAATGTCGTCTCAGTACTCATTTTCATTCTATATTTTCAGACGCTTCCGGTATGGTGCAATCAGACGACAATTTATCCGACTGTGAAAAGTCTGACTCCTCCGCGGTAAAAAAGGAGTCCGTCAGTGGTGAATGTCAGATGATTAAACAACGGCAACGGAGAAAACCAAGGGTACTCTTTTCTCAACAACAAGTATTCGAACTTGAGAGACGATTCAAACAACAACGGTACTTGTCAGCACCGGAAAGAGAGCAGCTCGCAACACTTCTCAAACTTACTTCCACTCAAGTAAAAATTTGGTTCCAAAACAGAAGATATAAATGTAAACGTCAAAAATTGGACAGGAACTTGGAATTGTCAACGATGTCGGTTCCGCGCCGGGCACCAGTAACTGTGACAATGAGAGATGGCAAGCCATGCATGCTGGGAAACAGCATGCCGCCATCATATCCGTCAGCACCCTACAACGTTAACATGTTCCCGGCTTATTCCGCGTCGTACACAAGCCCAAGTTATAATAGTGTAAATATGGGCTCATTACCGGGTGTTAATCAGATATCTCCACAGAGCGGGGGTTATGTTCAACAACCTATGCACCAGCCAGGAATAAGGGCGTGGTGAACTTTGTAATAACTTAAACATATGATTCCCACTTAATGTGCTTATCGGCTCCGTGTTGATGAATGACACAAAAGTTATCCGACTGGAGAGTTTGGAAACAAAAATGGCAGAAACTGAAATCGCGTCGGTGTACCCAGTGAAATAAGAGAGCCATAAATTAAGCATCTGTAACTTGTTGCGTATGAATATATTTTCAGATCTATTTTTATTTCTGTCCGATTGTAGTATAATGTTATATTATTTTAATTAATGTAAGAATAAACCGTACATTGTACGATTGTACATTGTCGAAATAACGGAAACGTGTGACCCGTGTCACGTGACTGACTCATCATTTATCAATGTGTAGGAATGGAGTTGACAACGTATAGAGGTGGTTGAACTGCGTTCCCATTTCCGTTGGGAACGGATGTTGATCAAAGATATGGTTTTATTTTACACCACCAACAAAAACAAAAAAATACATATATATTTTCATTTCACTTTCAGTCATACTAGATATTGTTAACAAAATGCCACATGATAATGATAACAAAGTAATGCAAAAAAAACTGTCAAAGAAACTATTAAAACATTATTCATTATTTTTTTTTTGTAATTTTTCATCTCAGTGTGATTTTATATACATTTGTATTTTACTCGTGCACGGCTTGATTATCTCGTGCAGAGAGTTCTGTTTCCAGTGTGCCAATTAATGAGAATCTCAATTAAGATATTGTTATGTCTTTGATATTCTAGTCATATATTTTTGTCAAATTAAAACGAACTGTCATAATATAATATATATATATATGTGTATATTTTAATGAATTTTTGTGCCTTTTTCGTGCATTTTACCTTTTTAAATCCGTACTTAGTAACTATAATATTTTTTCTCAATATTTAATTATTTTTGTTTTATTTAAAATGCAATATATGAAGTTACAGCGATCTTTTCCGCCGACGTTTTCTCTCACAATTTCAGATTTCACTCAATAAAATATCATAGAATGTGATTCAGACCTTTTATACGGGGTTTTTATCGCAGTTTTAATCGATTTAACACGATAAGTATGTATATTTTTGTTTAACTTATACGCACGCAATCTGATGAAAATTGCTCATTTTGATATGGTAACATCGCTAACACCTGCATTTTATATCCAATTTTAAATTATAAATTGAACAATTTCTACACCCCTCTGGAATCGACATAAGAGTTATCGGTCTTTAAATCTTCAGATAAGAACTTTTATTGTGTAGATTTGTTGAATTAAAATTCATTTAAAAGACGAACTGGCAAATGAAATATTTGAAACGGAAAGATGAGTTTATAATAAGTACAGACAATTATGTTCCATTAAACTATTTTCTTGTTAAGGAAAAGTCCTTGACATTGAATTAGATCTAGTAATTTTCAAAAGAAATAAACTTGTCAGAAAATTTATGATTAAATATAATATTATCAGTTTATTATTTATTTATTTTGTTTTAAAACGTGTTGCGTCCGTTACAGAATCACGCCCACGTGACTAACAATAAACCAAATGACAATTTTTTTATTATGGAATATTTCTGGGATTTTTTTTTTCGTTACAAATTACCATTTGTACAATCATTCATTTTACTTCAATTTAAACCTCTTAAATCTTACAATTAATTAAAGTGAATATAAGTAATTTTCTTTATTTTGAAATATTTATTTCAGTGACCATTTTTTATCTGTCCATTTAGAGGATAGTTTTACATATGATTTAGTGAATTATAGATTTTGAGAGAAGTTTTCTTCATTGGTCAATTCATTTTAACGAGAATTGTCGCATGACGCGTCACTAACGCGCACGCGCACGCTGCAGACGTTCTAAAACCTTTATTGTATAAATAAATGTTATCTATGAAATACAAGATTCTGTCAGTGATGTAAAATTTATAAACTGTATTTTCCTCATGCAAATAATGTTTTTTTTATTATTAAGCATACGGAAACGTCAAAGTCATTCTTTTTTATATTTGACCAATGCAACACATTCAAAACGGTTTTTTTAGAAGTTCTCAAAATTCACTAAAATGTTAATCATATCTAATAAAAAAAAATAAAAAAAAAAAAGTTCTGTAATTTTCTTCCTCAAATTTGCATCGGTAGATATATGTTATATGTTAACAGCAGGTAAGACAACGTATGCCGGAAGTGCACTTTGTTTATTGATATATTCTTACCATACCTTTTTGTACCTATTTCTATTTGTATATGTTGTTTTTGTGTATATTTTGATAAAAAAAAATCGAGAACTTAATAAATCATAATTATAATATACAACAAATGTTTAACTATGCAATAAAATATAAATTGTTCATAACCATGCTTGTTTTTTATGTTATCGTCTGAAAGTAAAAAATACTTCCCAGCAAACTAGCTTTATAAAAACATTTGTTTTGGTACAGAGAGGTCACATAATAGGTTGAGAGCGGTGACCTAGGTGTTAATGTGTCTGCCTTTCAACCCGGGGATCATGGGTTCTAACCCTACTTGGATAACGAACTTGCTTCTAGATACGACACCAGTACTGGTTAACAGAAGTTCCAGGTAGCGACTTGTGATGGTTTAAATAAGTTTCAAACTTTCATCATAATCTAGTTAAAAAACATGTCCCGTTACACACTAATGGCTAGTCCCCCGGTATGTCAGTTTTGCATTTGATTTTAGTCATACATTTGTGTAAAATGTGTTGGAAGTGAGACAATGTTTTAGTTCAAAAAGTTTGCCACATGTAAATTGCGTAAATGCCTGTCTTTATTTGTGTGAGGTTTGTTCGTGGCCGAGTGGTTAAGGTCGTTGACTTCAAACCACTTGCTTCTCACCTCTGTGAGTTCAAAACGCGACAGGGACTTTGGATGATTTCATTTGAGGAAGCTATCATCTCCGTTCGTGCCTGAAATTATATACGAAAGGTCACCTGAGGTCTTCCTCCACCAGTAAAGCTGGAAAGTCGCCTTATGACCTATACTGTGCTGGTAGACGTTAAATCCCCCCTCCCGCCCCGCCATACACCAATCCATTGAAGGTTTATTCCCTTGTGTGGCGTGAAAAGCAAGTATACCTCGGAGGTTCGAAACACTATAGAATGTTTAACTGTTTCTTTCTTTGGAATGTGTCCATTTATCAATTACTGCAACTCCACAATAAGCTACACAATATAGCGATGTTTCGTCACACCAACCGTCTTATTATGTTTTGTGGGCTAAAATGAACACATTATGTACACATCTACATTTTACATGTACGAATGTTTACATTATCTTAAGACAAATAGCAATAAATAGTCAATAATGTATTTTAAATTCATAAAAACTTCGTACTTTCGGTTTCTCAGCGGCACGGGCTAACTCTTTGCTTTGATTTTTCCTATCTCAGGTACCCTCTTAGCACTGTATTAATAAAGTAATCAATATTAATTTGTACTTTTATTATCCTATTTTGTGTTGCTGAAACCGATTGAGTATGCGATAGAAAATGCGAGTTTACGTATACATTTTTGACTATTTATTGCCATTTGTCTGAAGATTATATAAAATGAAACATGTAATAGGTATGGTGTGTACTGAGGCGGTGGGCGTAGCAAATATTGCAATATTGTATAGCTTATTATGGAGTTGCAGTAATTAAAAAAACGAACAAATTCCTAAGAAAAACATAGTGTTCCGTGGTAAAACTTGCTATTCACACCATATATCTTCTTTTATCAGTAGAATAAACATTCACTGGATTGGTGTCCGTTGTTGAATGTACAGAGAGAGTACCGTTTTTTGTAGATTTCGAAGGGTACCGATATGGATAAGCACCGTGTTCTATGTTCACTATGAAAATTTCCTCGGATCCCTTGGACATCATTTGCTCGAAGATGACACAATGCCCTTGTGCATTTGTCTAGTCTGTAAAACAGTGACATATAAAATGATTTCCTTAAATAATCAAGGAAAATTGTAACGAAATATTGAAACTACGTCACTTCTTTAATGTCCTTACTTAACCTTTACCCGTTATAGTTTACACTCTTGAAACTTATTTAAAAAAAAGAAGTTTCACGTGCTATTTTATTGTTTAGGTTAAGACATTGAAACTTGTTCCAACGATGCTAGATGCTAAAAATGTATCAATAAAAAATCAGGGTTTAAACTTAAAATATAAGAGGTTTTACGAATCCTATCAGAATGAAGCTTCTGTTATTTAAAAACTAAAGACCGAAAACCATGTACACATAATCTGTGTTCGCAAGTAAGTCACATCTATAAATAAATAAATATTCAACAAATATAGATACAAACCCGATCGCTTTAAAACAAAAATTTATAATAGGAATAATGAACAATTCCAAAGTAAAAGTAACTCTATTCTGTATGTGATAAAAAATCAAACTCCTATAAATAGATAAATAATTAACTGATTCAAATATTCTGTAAATAAATGTAAAATGTGAGTATTATTCATGATCAGGTCAGCATGCCGGGCAATAGTTTCACAACCGGAGGATAGTTTCATTCCTGAACGATAGTTTTATTATAGAACGATAGTTTTATTACCGGACGAAAGTTCCTTACCGGACGTAAGTGTCACTACCAGACGAAAGTATTATACCGGACATTAGTTTTATTACCGGACGATCGTTTTGTTACCAGTCAGACGAAAGTTTCATTATCAGACGAAAGTTTCATACCGGACGATAGTTTTATTACCGAACGATAGTTTTATTACCGGACGAAAATTCATTACCGGGCGAAAGTTCATTACCGGACGAAAGTTTCATACCTTAAACTTTCATTAACCGACGAAGGTTTTATTATACTAGACGATAGTTTTTTTACCGGACGATAGTTTCATTACCGGACGATAGTTTTATTGCCGGACGATAGTTTCATTACTAGACGATAGATTCAAAAATATACTGGACGCTAGTCTCATTACTGGACGCTTGTTTCATTACCGGACGAAATTTTCATTACAGGACGCTTGTTTCATTTCCAGACGAAAGTGTCATTACTTGACTTTTGTTTCATTACCGGACGATCGTTTCATTACCGGACGATAGTTTCATAATTATAAGATGATAGTTTCATTGCGGGACAAAAGTTTTACTACCAGACTACAGTTTAACTACATTACCGGACGATAGATTACCGGATACTTGTTTCATTACCGAACGATTGTTCCATTACCGGACGATGGTAGTTTCATTACCGGGTGAATGTATCATTACCGGACGATAGATTTATTACAGGACGATAGTTTCATTACCGGACGATAATTTCATTACCGGACGATAATTTCATTACCGGAAGGATTGTTTCATTTCCGGACGTATCATTTCATAAGTAGGCGATAGTTTCATACCGGACAGGTTATTACCGGACGATAGTTTCATTACCGGACTATAGTTTCATTACTGGACGATAGTTTCATTACCGGACGATAGTTTCATTACCGGACAGATTGTTTCATTACCGGACGTATCGTTTCATTACTAGGCGATAGTTTCATTACCGGACAGATTGTTTCATTACCGGACGTATCGTGTCATTACTAGGCGATAGTTTCATTACCGGACAGGTCGTTCATTACTGGACGATTGTTTCATTACCGGACGATGGTTTCGTTACTGGACAAAAGTTTCATCAAAATACATGATCGTAGCTACAGCAGGTTTATATACAAACGGCCAAAACTCCATGTAATGACAATACAATGAAAACGCAATCTCTAAACCTTCTCAGCTTGTGAACGCTATTCTAAATCAAATATAAAAAAGCACTAGTTAGTGTCGTTAAAAGGTTTCTTATAAAAACATCCAAGTAACGCATACCAACTATATTGTGAAAATAAAAGCACCGTCTGTTTCTGCTATGCATTTTGCAAAGCAATTTATCATTGTGTGAATTGCGAACAAGAAGATTCTACACTTTTTTGAAGAAAATTTCTAAATTCACAAAGGGCCATAAAATCAGTCAAAATCCATCCCAGAGTTGACGCCCAAAGATAAGTTTCATGTAAAAACTTTCAGTTATTATGAAGACTGATGTTGCATGAAAACCTTGAACCTAGACGTTCAAAAAGTGCCATAATTCAGTCCAAATCAATGTGAGAGTTATTGGCCTTGGAAAGTGACCAGAAATATATTGCATGCAAAACTTACACCAAAAAATTTCAAAGTTGAAAAAAACAAAAACACTAAAATTCAGTCAAAATCAAATCCATGCTAGAGACATGGTCTTTAGCTAGTGACATTCAATTGTGTATTCATATCTTGAGTAATTTTGAAGGTTGATGTTGCATGCAAAACGTTAACCAACAATTATTCATTAATTTGTTTTGCAATATTTTTGTATTGTAAACCATAATTTTGAATGTTTGGCATTTCATGAAAATAAGAAAGTATACAATAAGCACCATTTTTGACACTTGATATAAGATAATGCTTTATTCGTTCTACCAGCTTCAAACGCGCACGAATAGTTTGTCTAGCCAGAACATATACTATTTTCCACTTATAAGTACAGAAGCGAAGCATGATATAGTCACTTCCAGGAATGAGCTAGAATGAAAAATAAACGTGTTTCTCCATTAGGAAATAGTTCTACAAGAGAGAAATCTTAATAAGTTCATGTATTTATCTGTAGGATTTATTAATCTTGCAAATTACAAAACTAGTAATCCATAAGTTCTTTAAGAACTTTGATTTGTACCTCTTGCTAACCTAAACGCTAATTACATCTTTACATGACGCGTGGTATTCCAAAATACGTGAACACGTGGCTCGTGTATCGTACAACAGACAATTTGCACGAGAGCATCGTCATTTTGTAAAAATTATCAATTTCTTGACAATGTATCAGAACTTCTTACCCATGAAAAACTTTAATAATAGTATACAACAACGGACGGAAGTCGCAGGCTGAGGTCCATTTAATATTTTCGGCTGACAATGCTATGTCGTCCGACGAACTGTGTGCCCTACCGCATGCAAGTTCAACGGGGAAAGAAATCATATACTAATAGTAATCAATATTTCTAGTAAAATGAACTGGGTATTTTATATAAGTTAGTAATGATCTTTACGAAAGCCTAATAGTGTCAAATGAAATAAAAAATAAAAATACAAAGGCGTTATAACGCGAATAAAGGCGTTATTACGCGAATCAAAAGGCGTAATAACGCGAATAAAGGCGTTATAACGTGAATAAAGGCGTTATAACGCGAATCAAAAGGCGTAATTACGCAAATCAAAAGGCGTAATAACGCGAAAAAAGGCGTAGCAACGCAAATAAAGGCGTTATAACGCGAATAAAGGCGTTATAACGCGAATCAAAAGGCGTAATAACGCAATTCAAAAGGCGTAATAACGCGAAAAAAGGCGTAGCAACGCAAATAAAGGCGTAGCAACGCGAATAAAGGCGTTATAACGCGAAATGAAAGGCATAATAACGCAAATCAAAAGGCGTAGTAACGCGAATAAAGGCGTTGTAACGCGAACCAAAAGGCGTACTAACGCCAATTAAAACGAATTATAATGCCAATTTAATACCATATTTATACTAATCAAATGGCCTGGAAACGTAAGAAAGCAAGACCAATATTGATCTGAATTTATTCCTCAAGATATAAACTCGTATAGAATAATATAATATATATTTACAATAACTAACATTCCATTTGCGCAGTAATAATGCAAACTATTTGTCATAAACTAATGAAGACTCTTTAATATTTGCCAATTTAAGGTGTCTGGGTGCCTTATAGGTTTATTGGACTGGACGTAAATACAGTTAATCTGAATTCACATGTATCATATATTGCTTTTACACATGTCACTATAGTAAATGAATTTCTTTTCTTTTCTTATCTTATCTTATCTTATATGTGCGTCATATGTTCAATTATCTTCGGATATATCCTATTTGATTACCTTATAACATCTAGTATCTTCTAATTATGTGAATGCCATTCCTAATTAAGCTATAGGTAATATGCTATAGGTAACAAGATTTGGGAAAACGTAAGGTATAAGTTAGTCACATTAGGGTGATTATTGATAAGTATGTTTAAATGGGGGATAGTGTTTCAGTTAAGTCACAATTATAGGAGACATTCCCTTCTTTGTCTATGTAGAAAAGTATCTATAGTTGGGTGAAAGTTAACCTTTAATCTGACGAAAGCATTTCCTAATAAAAGATTTAAAAAATCAGACTGTGGCCTTAGGACGTATCCGTACAGAATTGAAAATAAAACGTACGTCTTGATCGATTTATTTAGATCAAATTGTTCTTCCTATCTTACATTACTAGGCCACGGTTTGGAATTTATATGGTATTAAATTAGCCTTTTGTTTTGCGTTATTATGCCTTTTGGTTCGCGTTATTACGCCTTTTGATTCGCGTTGCTACGCCTTTTTTCGCGTTATTACGCCTTTTGATTCGCGTTATAACGCCTTTATTCGCGTTGCTACGCCTTTATTCGCGTTATTACGCCTTTTGATTTGCGTTGCTACGCCTTTATTCGCGTTCTTACGCCTTTTGATTCGCGTAATAATGCCTTTATTCACGTTATAACGCCTTTGCATTTTTATTTTTTATTTCATTTGACACTATTAGGCTTTCGTAGATCTTCCTCGCCACCACGGTCTAATAAAAACATATTACTATAGTGCTCAATGTACTTTTTTGTCGAATGTTAACAGGCCCGCTGGCATGAATAATGTAAGGCTTTATATTGATGGATAAATGTGAACAATATATTACAATTCAATACTGTATTAAACTGCAATATTATTCCTATTTGAAGTCATATTTGAAAAATAACAAATAATGAGAGGTAACTCTAGTATGAATGTGGATAATTAACTTGCAAGGCTATCTTTCTTCCTTAAATTCTTTTCAAGAAATAATAAGTGATTTTGGGTATTTATCCGAAAACAAACATATTGGTAGCTTTGTATGTATTTTACTCTCTAAATGGAGGTTAGAAAGTTAAAATCAAGCATTGACAGTTGGCGCCAAACTAGTAAAAAACTTCGGATAAATTTTGTGAAAAATTTAAACGTATGACTGACAGTTCATTTGCCATTTAATGCACTGTGTGTAATTGATATTTTTAATGAATCAGGCAGATTCTTGAGTATACTGCACTTTCATAAACATGACCCATATAAGTATATTTCGGGTGTGATTTTTGGTGGTTGGGGGTAAATAAAAATTGCTGTCAGTCTTTATTAATTAGGAGCAATGCATGCAAATTGTAATTTTCTTTAACGTAGTTATGTCATATATCGTTGGGTAATGCTGAACAACTGGTTATCAGCCTGTAGAAGGATTTTGAAAAAATATTTGGAATTGTGTTTTTGGCCACACTGAACTTGCTCATTTTAGGTTTAGGCTTTCACTATCCACGGATGACCATGATTCGTTACCTTTAGCACTTTTCAAAATGATAAGTTTATACGCTAATATTTGTAAAATTCTGACCTGCGCTGAAGAATGGTGGCATGCCCACACTCACTGACAAAGGGATTGACATCCGACGTGCGACATGTATACTTTGACTTACAATGGTGAACATTAATGGCGAATTTTAACTATTAAAATACATTAAAGTTTATACATGTAGAAGTTTTAATTCGAATCCGACAAGCGTTTCCTCTGATCTCTATAACAGTGAGACAGTGACCTTTGACCTAGTGAAACCACGTCTTATTGTGATGCATAATTTGTATAAAATTAATTATAAGGACAGTACATGTTATTAATTTGGATGTATAAATTAGCCTATATAAATGAGCCTATTTCAAGATTATTTTAGGAACGAGCTGAAAGTATATTGACTAATAGTCCTTCTAAACATACTGGTATATTTCCCAACAGTGTAATGGTTAGTAATGATGCTATCAGATTATAAAATGTGTGATTTTGGCAGCGCAATAACTTTCGAACTGGTACGTATTGGTCGATTAAATTAAATATTTAGTGTACCGCATGCGCATTGTATATCTTTACATATGGTGAAAATTTACGGACTACAACTGTATACCAATGTAAACAAAAGATTGTACATGTATATTAAACAAGTAAGTAATATACTATTTTGTTATTAGATTTACGTGTTATTTGCACTTTATTTCATTTATTACATTAATGTCTATGATTTTATCATTCTGCGGTTTATGAACAGACAAACCATTTTCGTGTGCAGATTTTATGTTACATAATTTTATTCATGGCAGATTTAGGTCATTTATCAATCTATTTATATCATACAAACTGGCACAAATGTAACATATTAGTTTTAATTCGCCCTTACGACAAAACAAACGCGATATGTAATATATTGTAGGTGAATGTATAGTTATATTTCAAAAGACGCTATACATTTTGTATATTGTTATTCTGTATAAAAAGGAATTACACACAAACAAATAGTGATATTTTTAACGATAACATTAGTAAACGACGGAAAACGCTTGAATTGAATACATGTAATACAATAACAAAACTACACTCTTATTAAAATCAGCCCCTTAATTACTGCATTTTAGGTCAGATAAAATTCAGCTCTGGTTGTTTTCCTCTATGTTCACTGTGTAGAAACACATCTGCCGCAAAAATGATACACATTGAATTCTATTAGCTTGCAGTAAATGATGTGATTCTACACAGTGATTGTTGAAAATAAAATCTAGGTTATTTCACGATCAAACATTATATTACACTTTCTGAAAAAATATCAGTCTGTAATAATGAAGGGCATCGCATTGTTTCTGATATCACGTACGGTATGGTTATAGGTTTAAGTGACAGCCAGCCCGTCTGTACTTCAGTACTTCAAAATAGGACACCTTATATTATTTATGTTATAAAATATTTCTATTTTATTACAAAACTCTATCGTTAACATTGTTAATGAACATTAAAACCCCCGATCGTTCTACTGAATTTTATATAGCAATGCTGAAGCTTCATGTATTCACGAAATAAAATGTATCGCTACAAGTAACATAGCTGGACCGTTTTAATGGACTGACTTCAAACTGTTCGGTGAAAATTGTCTTTTGTATGTCATATTAAAATGACTCCGTTTAATTTGTTAAAAGTGTAAATAGGAAAACTATTGAGAATACATGTACTAGTATAAGATTTACGGTAGTGTAATTCTGTGCTCCTAATTTAAGACACACGCATTTAATTTATGTATTAAATGCAAATACGTTTTCCATGTATTCTACTATTTGGTAAACGTTCATATTTGAACGCCATGACTGTTGTGTGGCGTAATTTTCCGTAAAAAATGGTTGATAAATTACAAATATATACTGTAGAAGTTGCGGATTTTCAAATGCCAGAAATCGGTATTTTTTATGTTAATCATCATCTACCGGAAGTAGCAATTATAAAATAGCATCAATGATTTGATCGTAACACACAGGCGCTAGTCACATAATCAAATATTTTACATAACCGGTCTATATATGTATATAAAGATATATATAGACCGGTTATGTAAAATATTTGATTATGTGACTAGCGCCTGTGTCGTAACACAAGAAAATTTATTATATCAATTATTATATTTATTATATTATGGTAACTTAAACGTTCACTTTTGATATAGGTTGAACGCATTATTTTAGCCAGATGGAACGCGCATTATTGACGGCAGATGACGTCTGTCAACTCGTGCAGCGTCTGTATGGCCTGCGGACGATAAAACAGAAGACACTTGCAAGTTACGATGACGTCAACATTCACGTTATGGTAGATGTTAAAAGCAGCAATAATTATATTAAAGGTGTTTCAGAAGATGGATACGTACTTAAGGTTTTGAATACAGTAGATTCATCAAAAGTCAATTTTGTTGGTGGGTGAGCTTACTATTTAAATTAAAGTTTTCCTCCCAAACATGAATTGTGATAAGAATTGACCTGTTTTTTGAGTGTTTATTCTTTTCGCGGCATCGACAAACTACACTCATGTGCGCATGTGTGATCCGAAAGTATGGAACGCCGTGACTGTCTTATGTTATCAATGTTTTTGCTATCTTTTGAAACGATGATATTATTTTGTCATTTAAGCATATTATCATGTGCAATAAAATAATATCTTGTCTAAAGACAATGCTGACTTGTTCAAACAGCATATTAACTTGTCAAATAATCATTATGACATGTGCAGACAACATGTTAACTTGTCAAAGTATCATGATGACTTGTGCAAACGACATGTTAACTTGTCAAAATATCATGATGACTTGTGCAAACGACATGTTAACTTGTCAAGATTTCATGATGACATGTGCAAACAGCATGTTAACTTGTCGCATTATCGTGATGACATGCTCATAATACCTTAACAAGTTAACATGTGTTTTGCACAAGTCATCACGATTCTTTGACAAATTAACATGTTGTCTGCACAAGTCATCATGATACATTGACAAGTTAACATGGCATTTGCACAAGTCATCATGATACATTGACAAGTTAACATGCTGTTCGCACATGTCATCATGAAATGTTGACAAGTTAACATGTCGCTTTCACAAGTCACCATGATACTTGGACAAGATAGCATGTTGTTTGCACATGTTATCACGATGAACTGACAGGTTAACATACTGTTTGCACATGTCATCATGAAATTTTGACAAGTCTGTATAGCATTTGCACAAGTCATAATTAAACTTGGACAAGTTAACATGTCGTTTTCACAAGATATCATGATACTTGGACAAGTTAACATGCTGTATGCACATGTCATAACGATAATTCGACAAGTTAACATGCTGTTTACACATGTCATCATGGAATTTTTACATGTTAGCATGGTATTTGCACAAGTCATCATGATACTTTGACAAGTTAACAGTACGGTTTGACATGTCAGTATGATACAAGATAACATGTCATTTGCACAAGTCATCACGATTCTTTGACAAGTTCACATGTTGTCTTCACAAGTCATCATGGTTATTTGACATGTTAACATGCTGTGTGCACAAGTCATCATGATACTTTGACAAGTTAACATGCTGTTTGCACATGTCATCACGATAATTCGACAAGTTAACATGTCGTTTGCACAAGTCATCATTAAACTTTGACAAATTAACATGGCGTTTGCACAAGTCATCATGACACTTTGACAAGTTAACATGCTGTTTGCACATGTCATCACAATAATTCGACAAGTTAACATGTCGTTTGCACAAGTCATCATTACATTTTGACAAGTTACCATGTCATTTGCACAAGTCATCATTATACTTTGACAAGTTAACATGTTGTTTGCACAAGTCATCACGATACTTTGACAAGTTAGCATATTGTCTGCACATGTCATCATAATAATTTGACAAGTTAACATGCTGTTTGTACAAGTCAGCAAGTTCCTTTGACAAGACGTGATGTAATTTGCACATGTTAACATGCTCAAACGACAAAATAATATTATCGTTTCACAAGTTAGCAAAAACATTAATAACATAAGACAGTCACGGCGTTCCATACGAAAGGCTAGTGGTATAATACGAAATTGACTAAATTCTAGCCGGAGTTTAACGGAGATACAGTTGTACCGTGTGCCCACCCTTAAGTTATAAGTTGTTTTTTATAACCAACGTAACCAGCTATTTGATTTTGTTTTGTAATATTACTGAAACATTTTAATAAAATATCTATATTGTGTGCACCTGTGTAACTTAATACTTTGTACTGATCACTAAAGTATATTTTTCAATAACTGTTATATTTAAGTGATACATGGGTAGATTTTTTACTTTTTTACTATAAGGTAACTTATACGTACATATTTTCAGCATATGACGGTATTTAAAAATGAATTGTAAATACTTTATGAGCGTCTTGCTAGCGTTAGAACATCAGTTGACATTGAATTGCCTCTCTTGCTTTGCCTTCAGGAAATCATTAAAAGGAGTTGACCAGCCTTTCCTTATTTTCTATCTGGAAATTTAACCTAAAACTTAACTTTTTTCTTCACTGAGAACATATGTAGTGTTCAAAATTTTGCCAAACAAAGCGATATACTGTGCTTGACAATTTTACCATTATTCAGTACGAATAAGCGAACAACAGAAGATGGGTTCTTTCTTATTCTATACAAATTAGATAACTGAAAGGGCGACAATTAGAAGGTGATTATGCTGGCGTGATGATGCTAAATGAAAGTGATGTTGAAGGCGACGATGAGAACGATAACTATGATTTAAATTTATGATGATGATGATAATGGAAGTGATGTTAGTGGTGGCGGTGATGATGACAATGATGTTGATGGGAAATATTTGATTTTTGTGGGTCCAAATGATATTGAAAGTGATGTTGGTAGTGGTGATGCTGATCATAAATTTATACATTTCTTTTCATATTTTCTTGCAGGAGCTATGCATGCCGCTATTGAACAGGTATCAAAAGCTGGTATCGTAACTTCACATCCGGTCCCAAATATTCAAGGGGAACTTTATTCAACAGAAAGTCTCAATAGTAGGTCAGGTGAGTTCTACAGCTGAAAGATATGGAAAGATCTATGAATTCAAACCATATTGGCAATTTCTATCATGTCACCTATTTTTATTCGACGTTATTATGTATTTCAAGGGTTTCTGTATCAAAATGATTAAGTTGTAAATCCGAAAGTACAGACTTACTATTTTTTTCAGTATATAAATATAATTATGGCAAAACCTTTATCAAAACTGCACAGAAATTAATAGGTTTGCCTTGTTTGCGACAAAGATAAGTTAGTATATAGCTTAACGTTGCGTAACTTTTCCGATGATGACCGAATTTTGAATTATTATTTTCATCACAACAACACATGTTTAATATTTCTTCAGGGAAAGAAGGTTGTACGTTTCTTGTGAGACTATTCCAGTTCGAACCTGGATTGTCCTTGACGGTAAACCATACACGGTAGAATTGTGCTTCGAAGTTGGCCAACTGACTGGAAGGCTAAGCAACGTGCTTAAGGTAAAAGTTCAATCCTTGCTTGCGCCTTTATTTTTAAAATCAATGTGCATTTATTTATTTAAGCGAGATTATCATTTTAAATTGTTCAACAGTGATACCACACTTTTTACATTGAGAAGAAGAAGGATGTCCTGCATTACTAGAATATGATGAACAGTTAAACAGGGTGATAATACCTTAGGAATTTTCTCCAGTATTGTTTTGTTTTTTAAATATAAAATTTTATTTGCCAGACCTACTTCTGAAGCAGTGTTGTGAGTTTGGTTTACCGTTGCGGTTGCAATCATTAGAACGGTCATATCTGGATAATTAATCTATTCATTTCGAATAAACTTTAATTTTCGGGTTAAATACATTTTCAAGACACCTAAGGCTTAATAAGAACAATGTCCAAATTACAAATGCATCTAACCATTTTACAAAGCTAGTGTTACTTTCATCTGCCAATATTATTTAACAAGTTTACATGTTTTGTAAGAATTTTGAGCATCCAGGTTTGGTGAATCACTCCAGACACTGGAACCTTAGAGAAGTAATGAATATGGGAGACAAGATAGACTGTATTACTGATGTAGGGGATAGAGAACTCGTCAAGGATGTCGTAAAACATTTCACACAAAACGTTGCCGGAAACGCAGGAAATCTGCTGCAAGGTAAAATTCTGCGTTTTTAGATAATTGAGTTTTAAAACTAGATGTTATTCTGCTTCATAAGCCTAAATGCGCCAACGCTTAACGAGTTTAGAAATTTATGTTACGTACATGTACAATTAAGTTATCCTTATCCAAAGCCGGAGGAAAAGTAATGTAATGGTATATGATATAAATAACCTTCAAGGGAAGACCCAGAGAACTTGTGGGTCAACCCTTTTGCCAAATTTGTTATACCATTGTATTGTAACTGTCTTTACATGTATGTTTATGTTTCTTTTTTGGCAACAAAATATCTTTTCATCAAATGACCGATTATTACAGCATAAGAAGTATGGACAAAAGTGCTTTAATATCCTTAGTTACTTCAAAGCAGCACTCTTTCTCTCAAGTTATTATATTTTAGATTTTTTTAGATATACCGATTTTTTGATGAACACTTCACTGTTCCATGAATACAGAAACCATGACGTTTTGGTATGCTTGGCTTCTGGTATAGTTCTCTAGTTACTGGTATTTTATTCAGGCTGTGTTCACGGAGATCTGAACGAGGGTAACATCATAGTAAATGGTGTTGAAGTTTCAACTGCTAGTGGAACAAACACGGAATATCACGTGCACGGGGTTCTTGATTTTGGCGATTTGGTGCACGAGTTAATAGTTTATGAATTAGGTATCGCAATTGCGTATATGATGATAGAAACTACAACTCTAGAGCCAATAGAGGCAGCTGGACATACCTTGGCCGGATATTTTAACACATTTCCGCTTCCGGCGGCCGACTGTCAGGTTATTAAAGAATGTATATGTGCACGTTTAGCTCAGTCTGTAACATACGGAAGTTATGAGCATAAATTAGACCCCAGTAACACATACTGTCTGAGAACTTCAGAAAAAGGCTGGCCAGTATTACGTCGACTCTGGAAAATTCCAAAGAGTGAACTTTATACTTACTGGGAACAGATTTTACAGAATTACTCATTGAAAGCTAACTTCTGAATTTATAAATGGCAAATTAAAGATTACAAAATAAAAAAATGTCTAAATCATGCAATTCTTTTTTTATATCTTATGAAATTTACATCAAAATGAGGGGCGTCCGTCGCCGAGTGCTTATGGGTTCGAATCCCGGCAAGGATTTTGGATTCTTTCATGTGAGGAAGCTATCCAGCTAGCTTACGGAACGTCGGTGGTTCTACTCAGGTGTCCGTTCGTGCCTGAAATAATGCACGGAGGAGCACCTGAGGACTTCCTCCACCAGTAAAGCTGGAACATCGTGGTATGACCTATACTGTGTCGATGTGACGTAAAACCCAAAACAAACAAACATCAAAATGAGCAGGATTACAAAATTAGGAAATGCTGAAGAAGACCTTTTGTGCTTTTCTTGTGCCAATGGACAATTGTACTATGTTTTGTTTGAGAAACACTGCAATGGTCATACAGGCAGTTGCCAGCTTTACAGTTGGAGAAGGCACACTGACATAGGCAGGTTACCAAGAAGAACCACTAAATATCTTAAAGCTAGAAAGTATTCAAAGTCACCGTCAAGTTTCAAACATAGCAAATTACAAACATAGCACAGTAAGAGGCATGTGATATGAAGTCAGTGAACCTGACCAGTCAGCTTTTTTTTTCAGACACAAACAGTATCTTAGAAGCATCATTGTCCTTCAGAAAGCCAGAAAAAAGCAAGTCCCCAAACTACGCAGACATTTTTTTGTTGGGATTTACATTACACTAACATTGTAAAAGTCAAATGGTGACTTTCCAGCTTTACTGGTGGAGTAACACCACAGGTGACCCTCCATACATTATTTCGACACAAACACATACCTAAGTAGAACCACAAACGTGCCATAAACTTCCTGGAAAGCTTGCCCACATGAAAGAAATCATAGTCCCTGGCAAGACTCGAAACTCACAGTGGTGTGGGTCAAGTTATTTGTAGTTAACAACCTTAACAACCTGGCCACAGACACCCATAGTGCCAGACATCAGTTTATAATATGTACATGTGCTAGAAGCTAAAAAAGAATGCACAATCCTTTTCTTGGGGAAATTTTTTTAAACTTTTAAGTGGCCAACTCTTGCAGAAAGACATAGCCTTAGGGAAATCATAAATAATCAAATCTCTGAAAAGAATACTGAATAATATTAGGAAAATATACACATTTTTATTTCATTAAAAAAAAACAAGAATTGAAATAAAAAACTAATCAAATACACAATATTTTTATCATTTCATAATTTGTGGTCATCATATAACAAAACAGAATTATAACTCCAGGAATACAATAAAGAATAGTAAACATTTTATTATAGTAAAATGTACATAAAATATTTCAGTAAGCATCATCTGACATTATAACAATTACTAGTATCCATATAACAATTATATTAATCATTACAGCTTACTTTTTCAATTGTCTAAATTCATAAAATTATAATGTAAAATTTAAATGCTACTATTTCTTATTTGATAAACTAATAAAAAGTTTTTATAAATGTTACTTGTTCATGAAAATGTTCAGTATTTTCCTACTTTGAAGAGAGATGAAAGCTTAAAACATCATTTTTTATCAGTTAAGAGTTTCAATCTTTAACGCTTCTGTTTATCTGTTTTGTTTGATTGTTTAAGTCACATCAACACTGTAATGGTCATATGGCAACTTTCCAGCTTTGCTGGTGGATGAAGACCTCATGTACCTCTCCGTGTATTATTTCAGGCACTAACAGGTGCATCTATCGTAAGCATTGGAAGTTCCTGACAGGATTAACAGGTGAGGGGCACCCCAAAGAGGTATGGGGCATGTTAGTGACCTTAACCACTCGCCCATGGATGCCAATTAGGCCTATTTTGAAAAGTAATCAATCTTAAAAACACTCTCTCTCTCTCTTGTAGCAAAATTGGTTGAAATACTTCACCAATGTCTGAACAAATTTAGGCAATAAATAAATCTATCATCTTAAAAAAATTTTCCTGGGATCAATTTAGTTTTGAATAAGAAGCAAGTTTGTCTGACAGTTTGAGTTTCTGTGATTTTTCAATTATCAGAAATTCAATGATTATTAATTTTAAAAGTAATGAAGTCTCACCAATTTACTTCAAATAAAATACAGTTTAATTATCATTTACTTCAGCCATTTCATTTTTAAAAGTCTTAACAAATTACATGTATTAAAATCAGTACAGTGGCTACAAGTTTATTGAAGGCGTCCAATTGCAAGGTCTCTTCATTTTATAAAGGTCTTGTCATTTTTATTTTTGTAATTAATCAGTAGCATATCTCCATAATTATTTTAGCAAAATGGTCTCAACAATCTAATTCGTGAGATCAAATAGTGGTGTAAATCCAAGATGATAACTAAAAATCTCTGTCATATAGCATTTCACAGTACAACCCTTTCATCACTCTTGTCTTCTGAACACAAATTTAGACTCCACATCTGACAGCTTCTTACTTGCCACAACATGCTTGAAAATGTATGAACACATTTCAGCTTCTATGCTCTATACCCACAAATCCCTTAATTGATATTTGCCCAATGTACACTAATGGTCGCCTGGGAGACCAAACAGTTTGACTGTACCAGCATCTCTATCACGATCACGTTCACTTTTATCGTCACATGCGAAGGCTAAAAGAGGTTTTTTGGGATTCCATGACACTGTAAATGTTGGGGACTCACAAGGTACCTCTGCTATTTTCTCACCTGAAAATTATTAATAAATAGAATGTAGTATAACTCCATGGACCATGCCTTTAATTGCATGAAAATAGTGTCTGAGAATAAATAATGCAAATCATTATTATTCGTTAGACACTAATTTTCATGGTTTTTTATGGATAGGTCAATTAATGAATTTTAGATCCAATGAAATCTTATTTCGTCTGCTGTACAAATACATGTATTTCTTATAACATAACTTGCATTTTCCTTTTTTGTACAAACAGACAATCCATGAATATAAGGATCCACAAAAAATCTTCTTTCACAAAACGCTAAAATTTCATGCTGACGAATTCAAGTGACTTCACAGTATAAACAACAAGAGCTGTCAGTAGAACAGTGCACCAGACTAACTCAGAACTTGACAGTAAGCACCAGACTAACTCAGAACTTGACAGTAAGCACCAGACTAACTCAGAACTTGACAGTAAGCACCAGACTAACTCAGAACTTGACAGTAAGCACCAGACTTACTCAGAACTTGACAGTAAAACATGAATCTGAATAATGAGAGTAAATAAAGTCTTGAAGGTGACAATTTCATTCAAAATACATGACATAGTTGTGCTGTCTTGGATAGTGATTTTCCAATTATAATTCCAAAGACAAGTGTAAAGCTTCGAGTGAATACCTCCAGTACCGGGTACTTATGAAGATTGGTGTTTCATGTAAAACTTTGTCAACAAGTTTTTATAGGTTCACAAAGAGTCATTTAGTCAATATCCATGCCAGAGTTATGGGTGTTGGACAATGCTTTCTAATTATGACCCAGTATTAAGCTTTAATTGAATACCTTAATTATTTTAAAGATTGATATTGCACGCAAATCCTTAACTACAAATTTTCAATGCCAGTTATGAGTTATGTGCCTTGGATATTGTTTGACAAATACAAACCCAAAGACATATGTAAGGTTACAAACAAATATTTTTACTTTTAGTGGTTCATGAGATTATGAAAATGTACCACAAGTAAAATGCAAAAACTCAAACTGTAAAGCAATAATATGAGTAAAACAATTCTACTTTAGTTGAGCTAAACACTGTTTGATTTGAAAAAAACTAAATTTATCAGCACATATAAACCAAACTAAGACTACTAAGATCATGATAATATAGAGTATAAAGAAGAATTTATACCAGTTTCAACTTCAGATATATCAATAACAAGATCTTCAGATGCTGCTGCTAACATTTTACCATCATGACTGAAACTCATTGTACGTACTGGCCAATCTAACCTAAAATATAAGAAGATATATATTATCACATAAATTACTTGAACTATTCATATAGTACTAGCAAATTATTATATAGTCATGTCAACTTCTACTTCTTTCGTTTTGAGATTTTTTATATTGTACATATACGGTAATGTCTTAAAGAGGACTTGTTTATTATAAATATTTTCTGATATCAATTATGAAAGACTAGTGTAAGTCTAGTCAAGTCAAACTGCATGAATGTAAAGGTTAGTTTGGCACTGTTCTGGTGGCACAGGCCTAATGACATACAAGTACATTCAAACTGTTACCAACTCCCTAAATTATTCTCAACAAGAGCATCCAATGTGGTATCAACGCTCACCTGTGAGAGCAATCACTTTCAATAACCAGTTTATATAAGCAGTCTTCAATAAGGATGGGGCATAACTTCAAACATACAGCTTTCAGACTAAGATTAAATCCCTTTGTTTTATAATTGCACCCTGTTATGATTGCAGGTACCAGTATTCAAAGTTTAATATGGATATCTTTTTAAATGTTTCAGTATTTGGCAACAGTTATGTTTTTGTCTGACCATGAAACTATGACTAGCAATCACAACAGCTCTACCTTTTCATTGAAAAAGACAAGCTAAAAATTAAACGTAACTTTATGGCCCATTCACTGGAAACAAATGATCTCATGCTAAGACTCACAGTAGTCAATGTAAGACTATTTGAAGTAAAAACAAGCTTCATTTATCATGTTTATCAACAACCTAAATCTCTCTGTAGGATGATGTTTTCACTCTTGCAATAAAAAGTCTAGCTACACCCACATCATTACCTACCTTGATATAGTTCGTACACACACCAACTCTGAGAGATTCCATAAACTGACTAAAGCATCGGCACTTCCTGTAGCAAAATACTGGCCCTTTGGATCAAACTCTATACAAATACAATTGGCAGGATGTGCATTTAGAACATGTTGTGTTTTCAAATCAGGATAACTGAAAATAAAACATACTCATAAATTAATAAGAGTGCCAAGATGGCCCTAGATCGCTCACCTGATGTTCAAATTCATTCGAGCAATTACCTAAACAAACATCCTGACCAAGTTTGATGACAACTAAGTCAAAAATGTGACTACTAGTGTGTTAACAAGGTTGTTCCATATTTGGACAGTGTCCTAGTTTTTGTCCCCAAGTGACCCATATTCGAACTTGACCTAGAAATCATCAAATCAAACTTTCAGACCAATTTCCAGGATATTTGGATCAAAACAGTAGCCACTAGTGTTCACAAGATTTTTCTTTTTTAGCTCCTGTGACCTAGTTTTTCATCCGAGATGACCCATGTTCGAACTCAGATGAGCAAATACCTAGACAAGCATCCTGACAAAGTTTGATGATGACTGAGGCAAAAATATGACCACTAGAGTGTTAACGAACAAATGTGGACAGACGACGGACATTCAATGATCCTAAAAAGCTCACCCTGAGCAAGCTCATGTGAGCTAAAAATGTATGTAACAGCTTCAAATGTCATTTGTATGACATACAAGTTGTTAAAACAGAATGCAAGATCTTATAAGTTATCTCTTCTGATTTTTTTTTTACTTCAATAATCTCCTTCTGAAAATATCAAACAATTCTTTTTGAGTACATGTATCTGCACTACCTCACTGTATATTTCCATGTCTATATTATTATATTTCCAAATTACTTCACTTTACAATCCCTATTATATCAAAAGTAAATTATACTAATGCTATGATCTAAATCATATCTATTTAATCAATATAAAAAGTTCCCCACAAAAATCTGCTAGTTTTTTTTCTGTTTATGTGTTCATTGCAATTTGTTATCTACTATTCTAATATTACACATTGTTTATATTGTAGTTCCTATAAATTACAATTTTATATTATTCTTTAGGGCTGTGTATTGCAACCAGGTTGCGATCTGATCCAAGATTCAGTCCTGATGACTCATAAATCCTACCATGGATCATCTAATTGTTCTTATTATACAAAAAGAAATTAAAAAGTTGTTTAAATAACATTTTAAATGAATAAAATAAAAATACATTTTTAAAATGACTTCTACATATTTCCTTTAAAACAGTGTAAAGTTTAAGTTTAATTGAAAAGAAATGTTAGAGTACAGGGTAAATGCATGTAATATGTAACAAGACATTAAAGTAAAACAGTTATACAATAGTTTTTCTGAGGGCTTTACAAAATAATAAGAGAGACATTAGAATGTTTCCAAATATAGATGTGAATTGCTGTCATGGATCTTAGGACTAACAAATACATTTGTACCCAATACAAAATTGCCAAGGTCTGAATCGCCAATATCCGAGTATCCAAGAAATCACTACAGCCCTATTATTCTTTATGTAAGTTTTGTATGATCTGATTAACCTCATTATCAAAACAACAACATTTCTCCATGATAGATTGTACATGCACAATATTCTCTAAACACTGAGGTGTAAAAACTCACCTTAAAATGTGTATAGAACCCTGACCACTGGTGAGGAAGAAAAGATCCCCGTCTTTATTCCATGAGATCTCATTGACTTCAAAGTTATACTGCTGGTCTAGGCGTGACCTGTGAGTTTTGGCGTCAATAAATGTGATAAGATCATCTTTGTTTCCAACAGCTATAGTGCTGCCATCTGGTGACCAACATATGTTTATATTTTCTCCTGAAATAAAAACAAATTGGTAAAGAATGAAGAGTTACAACAAATCATCACCTTATGATAGGTTCAAATAATTTATTAATGATTACTAGTTTCGATCATATCAATGATGAAATAAAAACAGTCTAATTTATCAGTATGACACAGTCATATTTGATTAAACTATTTGTCCCCCACCATTCGTGTGTGGATTCAGGGCAATCCTATTGGGAAATCTTTTTGTCATGAAATAAGTGTCGGGGAAAATTGAATCAAAATAAAAATAAAAAGTAGCAGAAATCTGATTTTTTTATATTCATCAAGTCTATATTGGGAGCAAAGGAAGTTCTTGAGATTGAGAATGGATACATTTACTTTAAATTACATGTACCTTTTTTATTTATTTACCGTTTTTACTTTTTTAGCTGGATTTTTACGTGACACCAACACAAAATCATATGACGACTTTCCAGCTTTACTAGTGGTAGAATACCTCAAGTGCCTTTCAGTACATTATTCAGAAGTGAAGGGTCAAAAATATTAACCACTTGGCCAAAAACATCCCAATTTACATGTCTTAATTTAGGGTGACTAATAAGAATATGGTATGTGTAGATATTGTGAAGATACAATTTTCTTTTGTCAATCTATGTCTGGTTGCAGTGTTATTTTCCCACTTTAGCTGTCTTTTTTGGGGAAATAATACTGTAACCAGAGATCATTTCACAAAAGAAAATTGTATGTTCACAATATATACACATTTCATATTTTAATTAACTACTATCTTGATAGATTTTTAACATAGTAACACTGTTTTTACCATATAAACCATTGCTGACAAATAACATATCAAACACTTTATAATTTATTTCACAGTTATTCTGAAATTAATACATCTAGTTTTTGACATCTTTGCCCTATCATGATATAAAGGTAGCAGAATGACTAGAATAGTCTCAGGGTTGACTGCAAAACTCTAGTAATTCATATGAAATAAAGGACAACAGTTTTGCATTCAAACCTCGCTATTTTAAAATGAAACCTAAATTTTTTCCAGAATATTTCTGAACATGTTATTATATATTTCTTCATTGCATTTCATTTTCACGGAAAATAACAACAAATTATTAATGCACTCTTTATGTAAGAAGAATATAATAAGAAAATCAAAATTTAAAACAAATCCAAATATTGCTCCCTGGTGTATTAATCAAGAAAAGTACAAGTAAATTCTGCCACTAAATTCCATGTAATTAACAATATTTAAAAGAGCTCCACTGAAGTCCAAAAGGTGAAAAAGCTTAAAATTTAAAAATCTAGCATCTTAAAAAATGTATAGTTATGGTTCATGCACTCCCTCTCATTTATCTACATGTATGTGTGAAGTGTCAATAAGAGTGCATCAATAAATTCGTAAACTAATTCAATAGCCACGAAATGTTTGAATTCAAGTACCTAAAATGATTAATCCTTCTCAAAGTAACATCCCATGCAGGATTTACACTTGTCCCATCTCTCAACCCATGTCTCAATACATGTTGTAGCCCGCCATGTGACATCTCCTGCAGCTGTCTGTCACGGCACACCTCAGTTTCTCTTAGACTCAAATTTCGTACCACGAAGACTGTTTTTTAATGTTGGAAACAGCCAAAAGTCACAAATTGCTACGTACAGGTTGTAGGGTGGGTGAGGTAACAGTTCAACGTCGAGTTTTTCTAGAGTATCAATGACAACGTGGCTTGAATGGCTCGGCTCGTTGTCATGATGCAATATGAATCCGGACCTAATTAGATGTGGGCGTTTCTCCTTATTGCCACCATGAGTTCCGTTCTAAGTAATGTTGCATAATAGTTCCCAGTGACTGTCACTTTGGTAGGAACAAAGTGTTTTATCACTACACCGTATGTATCACAAAATATAATGGCCATAACTTTCCCGGCTGACTTGGAAATTATCGCTTTTGTAGGGGAGGGTAGGAAGGATGCTTCCAGACAGAACTCTGACGTTTGCTTTCCTGTTAAAAAAAGTGAATCTAAATTTCATCACATGTTATCACTTGATTTAGAAAGTAATCTCCTCCGTCACAATACCTCCTGTCGTACTGCTGACACATTTTCACCCTTATCCCCATCTGCTCTGACGTCAAGAAACGAGGCACCCATCTTTACTAAAACGCAGCACATTTCTTATCTATCAGTCATAATGCCCTGAGCTGTACCATATGAAATAGCGAAACTTATCTGCTTCATGCTCCACACTTACTCGTCTATCTGGAAGTATGTACTCCTGAATGGCAGCCACTGTTTCTTCATCTGTTACAGTCACTGGTCTACTTGCATGACTGACGTCTTCAGTTGCCTCTCTACTGTCTTTTAACCGCTTCATCCACTTTGAAATGGCAACTTTTGACAGAGCCGCCACTCCATAAACTTTTTGCAAATTTTCAGGAATATCGGAAAAAGACTTTCCGAGTTTTTTGTAAAACTTTATAAGGAAACACTGTTCATTGACGCTGTGTGACATCATTTTCGAACGGATGACCGTAACTTGACGTCATTTACGGTTTATGATGTCATAAGTGATGACGTCAAAGTTGTGTACATAGTACTATTCAATTTGAAATGATCTGTTTTCACAGCATTTAAAGTTTCATTTTAAACGGACCAGTAATTTTGACGCTATTGAATTAGTTTATGAATTTATTGATGCACCCTAGTATATGATAATTTTGGAGTTATACTGGGACAAGCAGTATTAAATTTTGGGAGATAATTACATGATTAATCTCATTATCTTCACAGTTACTCTATAATTTGTGCAACACTAACAGATGTTCCAACATTTTACATTCATGAGCCTTTTTATGGGCCTTTTTTACAGGCCTTTTCTTTGATCCTCATGTGTCATTTTATCAATAAACCAGAATGAAAAATTATAATTTAATGTTATGGTTTATGTGGTTTCCTTTTATTTTCTAACTATGATTATGGTTGACATGAAACTGTTAAATCATGGAATTGAACCTCATAGTATCAACCAGAAAACATCTTAACTTTCTGTGGCTGTACAGCAGACAGAGAGACAGACGGAAATATGAACAAGAACTACCGGTATATGAATAAATATAATAATATTAATATAAGAAGATTCAAAACATGGATTTCATATATTCTAATGTCATTTATGGATATGTATTGTACTAACAAATTAATATATTAAGAAAATTATTTCTACTAAACCTTTTGTATTAACTGTGGCTATAGATTTGTTAGTCCTAGCATCCCACATTCTGATTGTTTTATCACCACTCGCTGTGACAAGTTGATCTGGGTGTTTAGGATGCCAACATAACTGGTCTACACTGTCACCATGGCCTCGAAATGTTACATCTTTAGACTGCAAAATTCATAAAATTAGTCTAGAATAAACAGTTATAAGAAATTCATAAAATTAGAATAAACAGTGATAAGAAATTCATACAATTACAATAAACAGTGATAAGAAATTCATAAAATTAGAATAAACAGTGATAAGATTAATATTCAAAACTATAAGAGCCGAATGCTAATTGGTAGGCATACCAAGGAAATAAGAGAAACAAGGAAACTAGAACTGCCACTATCATGGCATGAATACCCCCGCATACCACTTTGTCAGAATCAACAGTGGCCATTTAGAGCTCAAGGACAACCTCCCTGCCAAATCTGAGGTTACTAAGCCAGTGCATTGCTAAGTTATGTATTCTACATGCTTCAAATGTGAAAATGTCAAAATCAATACATTGCGGACAGGACATTCTTAAGCAATTGAGAAGAAAAGCTTTTTTTTGTCAAGGTCCCTGTGACCTTGACCTTTGACCCAGTGACCTCAAAATCAATAGGGGTCACCTTATAGTCATGATCAACATCCATACCAAATATGAAGACTGTGGGTCAAAGGAATCTTAAGTTACTGGGTGGACAAACTTTTTGAAGTCAAAGTCCCTATGACCTTGACCTTTGATCCAGTGACCTCAAAATCAAAAGGGGTCATCTACTAATCATGACTAACCTCCATGCCAAATATGACGACTGTAGGTCAAAGGAATCTTAAGTTATTGGGTGGACAAGCTTTTTGAAGTCAAGGCCCCTGTGACCTTGACCTTTGACCTAGTGACCTCAAAATCAATAGGGGTCATCTACTAATCATGACTAACCTCCATGCCAAATATGACGACTGTAGGTCAAAGGAATCTTAAGTTATTGGGCGGACAAGCTTTTTGAAGTCAAGGCCCCTGTGACCTTGACCTTTGACCTGGTGACCTCAAAATCACTAGGGGTCATCTACTAATCATGACTAACCTCCATGCCAAATATGAATACTAAGGGTCAAAGGAATCTTAAGTTATTGGGTGGACAAGCTTTTTGAAGTCAAGGCCCTGTGACCTTGACCTTTGACCTGGTGACCTCAAAATCAATAGGGGTCATCTTTTCATCATGACGAACCTTCATGCCAAACATGAAGACCGTGGCTCAAAGGAATCTTAAGTTATTGGGTGGACAAGCTTTTTTCAATCCAGGCCCCTGACCTTTACCTTTGACCCAGTGACCTTAAAATCAATAGTGGTCATTTACTCAATTATGACTAATCTCCATGCCAAATATAAGGGTTTGGGTAAAAGGAATCTTAAGTTATTAGGTGGACAATCTTTTGAAGTCAAGGCCCCTGTGACCTTGACCTTTGACCTCAAAATCAATAGGGGTCATCTACTAATCATGACTAACCTCCATGCCAAATATGAAGACTAAGGGTCAAAGGAATCTTAAGTTATTGGGTGGACAAGCTTTTTGAAGTCAAGGCCCCTGTGACCTTGACCTTTGACCTCAAAATCAATAGGGGTCATCTACTAATCATGACTAACCTCCATGCCAAATATGAAGACTAAGGGTCAAAGGAATCTTAAGTTATTGGGCGGACAAGAAAAAACCGACGGCCGGACGGACAGCCGGACGGACAAGCTGATTCCAGTATACCCCCCTTACAACTTTGTTGTGCGGGGGTATAATAAGGGAATACAAGAAAATATGAGGTTCCCCTCAAAAGATAGAGAGCTGACACCAAATTGCTAACAGACAGATGAACAACCAGAATGATGCTTAATAATTTTTTTTTTTCAATATTTTTTGGGGAGTGTAAAAAAGATTGTCTGATATAAAGCCAAGGCATGTAGTTGGTTAATCAATAGAATATTGAATTATTCAATTTTGTATAATTACAGGAAAATTTTGCAATTTCTTGATACATTTTGTATTTCATAAAAGGATGTTATATTTTTCTGTGACATCAATAGACATAATCCCCTTCGGACAAAATCCCCTTCATGTATTTTTGTATATCCGGACATAATCCCCTTCATGGGTGGACATAATCCCCTTCATGTGTGAAATTTTGAAGTGGACAAAATCCCCTTCATAAAATTGCTACCTAGGACAAAATCTCCCTCAGAGGAATTTTCGTTTTTTTAAGTGGGTATGAGAGCCACATACTGCATTATGCTGTGTAGTAAATATCTTAATGTATAAATGAGTAGAAAATATTTCAGCAGAAAAGCACATTCAATTAGCAACATTTAAATCACATTAAAATTGCTTTGTTAAAGCATTCATAACAATCAATCAAGTAGTGCAGTGATATTGGTTTGATTAAATTATCACTCTTTCATCAATAGAAATTGTAACAATGGATAGTATCTATCAATTAGAATTATCAACTTATACAATCAATGAAACAATTATTGGCTAATAAAAATGTTTTTCATACTAATCAATTTAAAACTATTAAAGAAATTGCCTAATCAAATATGTGTTATGCAGTTGATAATTTACAATAATTTTAATGAAAACTTCTAAACTAAATAAAGGTAACTATTAATAAATAATTATAAATAAAAAAAACAAAAGTTCATTATTCATCAATTTTTAGGGAGTATAATAATTTTTTTTTTTTTCAAGTCAAGTCAAATTTCCTTTATTACACACATTTCATGTTAACATGAATAAATGTGGTTAGTAATAAATACAATGTTAGTAGAGGCTCTTTAAACAAATGTACAATGTATAATTATATAATTTGAGTGGTAAAATAATTCGTAGAAAGAGTATTTATTCATATCATTTGCTGAACTGCAGTACGTTCAATTAACAATGTATCAAAACCACAAATTGTTAAAGTTCTTAGTAATATGTTACCACAAAAAACCGTGGAGAGTCACGTAATTTGGACACTCTCTAAGGGTATAATTTCGTTTCATATTACCTTTCTTTTTATTTATCGACAAACGATGAGAATAGTTACAAAAAAGGAAAAGGGAAAAGAAATAATAATATAAACAACTGACAAGTGATGTACAATTATGTACGACATAATATTTTAAACCTTTACAATGACATTTCTAGACTCATACTTATAAGCTAAATGAAAAAAGTGTCATACTATTTAGACAAAAATTATAACAAACAAACACTTTACAATGGGTAATAAAAGATTTATCTGTGAAATATTCGTGTAATAGTCTTGGAATGTAAGTAATTCTTGGAATGTAAGTAATCACATATGAGGTGAATTCTAATTTTAATTATCTTAAAATTATTGTTTTAACAAATTTACATAATTTCAAATATTCGCTCTTGTTTTCTGTATTATTTATAGTTTTGTTGTTGTCCTTTAGAAAATACTACGATTTTAGATTTAGATGTATTTACAGTAAGTTTCCATGTTTTACAATAGTTTTCATACAAATGTAATGATTTTTGAAAATCTTCAACCGATTCAGATAAAATAACAGTGTCATCAGCGTAAAGTAATATAAATATCTTTAAAAAATCACGAATTTCGTCTGCGTTTTGGTCATTTTGTACCGTGATTCCCATAGTGTCATTACTATTTGCAAAATAATCGCTAAGGTCATTCAAAAACATTGAAAAAAGTAGAGGGGACAAGTTCTCTCCTTGACGTACGCCTATGTTACTAGGGAAAAAATTTGAAACTTCAAAGTTAACTCTGACACACGATTTAATGTTATCGTACATGTTTTTAATGAGATTTAAACATTTTCCTGTTATATTAAGATTAAAGAGTTTTTGCCAAAGACCATTTCTCCAGACTGTATCAAAGGCTTGTTTTGAGATCGATAAAAGCACAGAAATAATTTATTTTTACTGTTATTAACGTAATTGATTAAATGATGTAATACAAAAATTTGGTCTGTGGTTGAAAACCCCTTCCTAAAACCTGCTTGACTATTATTTATAATATTATTTTCATCTGCATAAGTAGTAAGCCTATTATTTATTATACTGGTAAAAAGTTTTCCCAAACAGCTTAGAAGTGTTATAGGTATATAATTTTCAGGTTTACTAGCATCACCTTTGTTTTTATATATTGGATTTATTATCCCAATAGTCCACATTTCAGGTATAACACCTTTTTCAAATACTAAATTAAAAAGTTTGAAATACGTATCTTTTCATTAAACTATATGAGCATTTTTATTTGTTCGTTAACTATTTGGTCTAACCCACATGCTTTATTATTTTTACATTTTTACTGCCTTATCAATCTCTTCATATGTTATAGGACAATTGATAGATTCGTTTTGGTTTGATTGCTCATTATTTTCTAGATCAAATGTGTATTGTCATTAATTGTTCCATCATTTGAAAAATTAACATTTCTGAAAAATTCATACATTTCATCGATACTTGCTTCCGTTTTGCATTGACTGTTATTATTACGAAGTAAATTCCAATATAATACATTATTCATCAATTTTTATGGAGCATAATAATACATTAGAAACCTATGAAACAAGGGGATTTTGTCCGGGTAGTGAAGGGGATTTTGTCCAGCCTTGCAAAAAAATGTAGGGGATTATGTCCACCCATGAAGGGGATTTTGTCCGGGTAGGTGAAGGGGATTTTGTCCGAGGGGATTATGTCTGACATTCGAAATTTACAGCAACTTAAAAGTGGTTAACATTTCAAAAAGCTCAAAATGAGTGATGAACTAGTAAAGCTATAAAATACTTTTAAGGCATGTTTTGTCTGTATCCAGATAGAAATAAACTCTGTTGTGGACAGTTTACATTAAATTTCAAATTTAGGCCTTCTCATTACACAAAAAAGTAGGGCAAAGACTAACAAATGGTCTTGTTTGCATTTATTAAAACAGAAATTAAAACAAGAGTGCTATGATGGCCCTAATATCCCTCACCTGAATACAACACCTGAATATAAATACTGTTAATAACAAGGAACAATTTAGGGTAAAACTAAAATTTGAAGCAGATAATAAAAAAAATTTTAATTTTAAACTGATTTCATAAATTTTAAAATTTTTGAAACCTTTGAACAGTGCAG